CTAATAAAATAAATATTAACCTATTAAATAGGCAATTAAAACTAATAAAATAATTTATAAACTATGTAAAAATATTAGGAAAAATATAAAATATAAAATAGAGCCAAAAATAAATATATACTAATATAGAAAAAAAAGTAAATTCTATTACAGTACTAAATGAAATTATTAATATAATTGCAGATTTATCATTTATAAAAATATCTATAATACTTATTACTAAATTTTTACTTTATCTTAATTAACAAATTTATTACAAAATTTGAATTTCTTACTGTATTTCAAGATCTATAATTCATCTTTCTACTTTTAATTTATCTTTCAATTCTACTTCACAATTAGTGCAAACTTTTTTTCTTAATACTATTAGTTCTAAAATTAATTCTTAGTATATATAATGAATTAAATATCAAACTAATCTCTTATATATTATTACTAATATCCAAATCTAGATGAGTCTTGATTACTCCAATTGGTTTAGATTACAGATAAATTAGTCTGAGCTTCTATTCTTGTTATAATATTTTAAAAATAGACTTAAACTATATAAAAATCTTGATTAAATATTCAATAAAAATAAAAATATAACCTTACTATTAATATTAAAAAAAAAAAAATAAAAAAAAAAAAACAAGTTTGAAGAATATGATATAAAAAATTTAATAAATAGAAAAAAAAATAAAAAAAAAATTAGCAAAATGAAAAAAAAAATTCAAAAAAAACTAAAAAGAATCTAAGAAAAAGTAAATTAAAGATGAAACTAAAAAGACAATTTAAAATTTGTTATAAAAGAAAGAAAATTCTTTCATTATGAACTTTAAGACAAACAGCTTACTTCTACTCAAAATAATGTAACAAATTGTACTTAAATACTATTAGAATACCTAGATGATGTTAGGTTTAATTGTTGGATATATATATATAATTACAAAAATAATTCTAAGAATCTTAATAAAATACTAGCATAAATGCTTAAGATTAAATATATATATATATATAATTCAGAATATACAAATTATAACTTTTATCTGAAAATATAATCAAAAAAAATATTGTTTATATATAACTTAAAAAAGTTTGTAAAAAAATAATTATAAGAAACTTTAGAAAATAACAAAAATATATAAGAAAAAACAAAAAGTTTTTAAGCTTAGTTTAATCTTAGTACAAAAATTATCTTTTAATTTAAGAATAGACAAATTTGTTTATATTAATTTTTTTAAAATTAATTTTTATAATAAAATTTTAATAATTAATTTTAGTAATATGTTTTTTAAATAAAAAATATTTTTAAAAACTTATTTTATAAACTTTATTAAAAAACTTTTTTAACTTTATTGAAAACTTTTAATTAATAAAAATTTAAAAATTGTATAATATAAAGATTTATTATTAAAATATATTTTAGATTTTCTAAAATTTTATATGGTTTTGAAACTAAAAAAACATTTTATTTTTAAAACAAATATTAATTTTTATATATAAATTACTAAACTTATAATAATTAAAATTGTAATCTTTGATATAAACTAAAAAATTATATTAAAAATTATAGATTTAAAATTAATATTTAAAAAATATATTATAGATAAATTAAAAATTTTTTTTTAAAAAAAATTTTTTTGAAATTGTATATTTTGATCTATAAGTAACCTAATTTTTTTCTTATAATTTAAAAATAAATACTTCAAAAAAGTAATCCTTATCTTCAAATATTATTATACTAAATTTTATTTAAATATTTTAATATTTCAAAAAAGTAGATTAAAGCCTACAGATTAAGAAATAGTATGCTTTTAATAAAATAATTATTAATAAAATTTGAAAAAAGTTCACTGTTAAAAAAAAAGGGCATATTTAAAATAAAAAAAAAAGAGCATACGTACTACGTACGTATATACTGTATAATTGATACGTATATATTTGATTTACATAGTGCATCAAACACCCCAACATTACATGGTTACGTCAACTCGTTTTTGGAGTATACCATGTGTGACCTGGGTTCTTTGGTGTTGTCCTAGCTGATTTAAGTAAAGTTTTATGCATAAAAAATTTTTGATTTTACCTTTTTTAAACGATTTTGTACAAATTTGTACGCTAAAATATACGGTTTAAGGGATAAAAGCAGAATTGCCAAAAAAATTATTTAATACAATTTATTTTTATATTTTATACGTATAAGTAAACTTGTTTGATATATAGTTTTTATTAACTATATATTTTTAATTAAATAATTTAAATATCGATATTGTAATTTGGCTAATCAAGTACAACTACGTATAAACAAAATATTTTTTTTAAAAAAAATCAATAAAAAAGTATTTGAAATATCAACCTAATTTAATAAATCACATGGTTTTGGCAAATTCATTAAGGTTATGTAGAAAATATACAATAACTTGTGAAATCATTCAAAAAAGTTCATTGTAATAAATAAGATGCCTCCATCAATTTTTTTCGTTATTTTAACATATTACAATTCTGTTCTGTTCTACATAATTGATGATAATCACAAAATATACATGTTTGATAGAATAAATTTACCGACCCTTTTTACATATAAATGCCAAAATTTAAGCATATTCATTAAAAGCAGGAGGACATAAGTGATTATTCAAAAATATGTACGAAGAAACATTTGCACGATCAGGAAAATCCTCCCTAAAATAAAGTACTACTGTTTTAAATCTTTTGTATTATTGGACTTAACAGTAAAAATTTTCTCGTTCATACTAAAGTTTCCCCAATATTCGATTAAATATCACAAAATAATTCATAGTTGTGTACTTCCGCCGCGTACGTTCTTCAGTGTGCGCTTCCAGCATGCGGCTGGAAACGACCGGCTGGTGGATTTGCACCTTGTGAATTAAACCGGCCAGATTGTGGTTGAAACCGGCCAGCCCAAATAACTGCAGATTTGGCCTGTCGATACAAATTTGTGACGTAAGGATGAACATTGTTACTTGCTGAAGGTAACAGCAACCCGTCCAAAAATCGAGCTACGTCCGAAAATGCTTGCTGTGTATATGTATTCATATGATATCGCATACGAAGAAATATGAAATACACAAATAATGTGAAAAACCTTAGATGAAAACTAATAAATTGAAATTACGTTATGAAATAATTAAGTATCTCAGTATAAATGTTTTAAGCAGGCACAGAAAGTGAAGGACTTACGTCAAAACATTCCAAATTAGCACATTTGTAATAACAACAACTTCGACGAAACTAACAGTCCTCATTGCCTTGTCGTAATTTTTATGAACCCAACTTTGAATGAACCTCGAAACATTTGCTGCGTATTGTTCATAAGGCGAAGCTGATGATGAATGTGAAGAAGAAGAACCAGAAACTGACGATGGGAAAAATGTTGGGAGGATATTTGCACGTATATAAGTGATCAAATGAAACAATGAAAAAGTGGCATAGGGTAAAAGTGTAACTACATAATCAAGGAATAAGAATATATAATTTTAAAAATTACTGGAATTGTTAAATACAGCAATCACAATGTTACACCACGTATTAATTATTATAAAGTTAAAGGACACGTTCGCATACCGAATACTGACGCATTCATAAACCATACGCATGCCAGCACAAGATAAAACACATTTTCATCTCTATTAATTTTTTGAAAGTATTCCCAGGTTGGTGCTGGTGTCTGTTATTGATTGTATAATCAGAATATAGTTAGCACAAATCCTAAGATTAATAATATATTAACAAGATCTACTATAAAATAGAGACTAATCAAGGCCTTCTTAATCAGAATATTGAAATCATTTTATGTTAAAACGAAGAGTTTTCCTCGCAATAAAAGATATAATATATATATATATGTAAAAACCATGAGAATCCACCAATGAAACTTTCACTCTAAAGACTCGAGTTAATGGATATCATACGTGTGCTGCTATTCACCAAGTAACTAAACGAGGCCATAGAATATTTGCAATAAAACTTACACCAAATGATTTGTAAATAACGACCCCATAACTCAACATGGCACCCAAATAGGCTGTGTAATAATAACTTGCTCCTTCAGCAGCGCGAAAAGTGAGCCAATAGTATAAATGAAAAAGAGAACAAAAAAATACGACACAATGACCGCACCACCAAATGAATTGAGGGTGCTGAGGTAAAAAGTAAAAAAGTAAAAGTATGAATAGTCATGACATCGTGCAACCACAAAAGATAGTATAACTGTTCGCGTAATAACTCGAACGCAATCAAGAGTGAACGTACCCTGACAAGTGTACCAACACGATTTACGAGAGGCTGTTGTGCCATCTTATGATTTTAGAAAGCTCTTGTCTGTCTCAGCTATACTTATCGACCCTCCAGATGTTAATATTGTGAGATTAACTAATGAAGAAATTTGCTTAATAAAAAAAAACTAGCCGAGTGTATCTGCGACTATTTCAGTCTAAAAGTTTGGAAGCCAAAAAATAAGATGCTTGATGAATTTGTCCGAAAACGTCATCGTTAAAAATCCGCCAATTGACGATTGATTTTTCATCATTCAGCTGTATAACCGATAGTAATACATAACTTCGGCGTGTATGCACTTGTCATTTTATCACAGTACTATGTGTAGGTGTGAGCCCATTGGGTGATTGCACATATGCGTTACACAATTGAAATTATTTATGCATTGTAAACTAAACGTGACAGTGGTCGCATCAATGATACATGTTATACATATTTTATTAACAGGAATTATATTAATACTAGCCAGAATCATCACAATTTTGACAAAATTCATGATTTGCTATTCTTTATTAAAATCCCTAGTACATTACAACCACTATTTTAGTCACGTGAGGACAGGAAGACTTCGCCAATTTTTTATGTTTATTGATAAAACTTTCTATTATGATACTACGAAAACAACTTCACAGTACGTACTAATATGATTTCAAAAATCAGACTATTGCTAATTTTCACCCTAGGTGATATCACCTGGTTGTATAAAAATCAATCAGATCGCTGGATATTATGTAATTGAAGAAAAAAAAACAAAAATTCAAATAATCCAAGATTTTATTATAAAAACCATGCTTCGACTTCTAAGCAAAACTTTTCTGCATCAAATTTTACATATATCTAAACTCTTTTAATCTAACCTAAAGCCAACCCTAACCCCTAACGTTAAATTTATTTACTTGTAATAAAAATTTTATAATATCGGGTGATATCACCTAGAAAATTAGTTACGTATAAACTTATTTGAAAACCTAATAAAACTTAAATTGCATAACGATATGAATTTGCGTTGTACGTAGAATAATCTGCACAAATCTCTATATAAAATTTTTAATCTAGATTAAATTAAGATCTAATCTGTTCCATTTGTTTCACCAGTATATACAAATATATCAATTTATGCCAATCCCAAATTATTATATATATATATAGTCATACCTGAGTTATATCTCCCCTTTATTCCAGAGGATTTTTGGGGATATAACTAAGGTAGAGATAACTTGAGTATTGGCGCTCTGGCCACGTGATCGTCACCAATTAAATTACAATATTTAAATTTATATAATTACTTTAATGATTTATTGACCAATAGTATATTCGTATAACAATTTCGGGGATATATCTTAGGTATTTTATATATTATTTTATGATCTTAGTAGTTATTACTGGGAATAGGGATATAACTAAAAATTAATATAAAATGGGATATAAATCAAGTAAAATTAATATAGAAAATCTAGTCTACTAAAAATGAAGATATAAATCAGGTTGGGATATAACCCAGTGGAGATATAACTCAGGTACGGCTGTATATATAATTTTCTGCATATACCATAGTATATTCCGGTATATAACGCTGAATAAATAACGTCCTCCGTTCTTAATAACAACCCATACCTTATTCGTTGATACTTTCTGTTAAATTCAATGCTCCATATCTGCAGAGGGAAGTTTCAATATAAGGCATTAGAGAAACATTCCTAAGCAATAATTTAAAAACAAACCTTAGTAAAACTTTTTCAACAGTATCTGAATCAAAATTCGTTTCGCCAATTTCGTCAGTAATCTTAACTAAATTTGCGATTAATTTCCCATTTTTATAAACTAGTATAGCTGGAAGACCAATTAAGTCAAAGTCTAAATCATGAGCCAGAATTCGTAAGAATTTGGAATTGAAAAATTTTCGAGCCAGGTGTGTCAAGCACTCATTTAAGAGTCTACATTGTGGAATTGACTTTCGTCGGAATAGAACTACGTTAATTATATTTACGAAAGTTAAAAAGCATAAAAAAAAAACATACGTTTTCATACAAGTGTACGATTACACAAACATCTGGAGCCTCATCGTCTATAGCCTTAACATACTGATTAGAAGATATTTCTCTTAGAGTTCCATATCTTTTTTTATTTACTTTCTGATTTTCAATTTCTTTAAGTTCTCTTAATCTTTGTTCTCTGTATTTTTTTAGTGCTTGCTTTTCTTCTTCATCTGAGCTTATATTTTCTAAATCTTTTAAATCTTCCTCAAGAGCTTTATTTAATTCATCTTCACGATATGTTGTTGTCACGGGAGCTTTTGATAACATGCGCTCGTTATATGCTACTATTGAAGCAGACTTTTGTTGTTGTGTATATTGTTTATGATATTCATGATCTGCTAAAACACCTTTTGGACCTGTTTGTCGGCCACCATGTTGCAACAATGAAAATTGCTAACATAAGAGGATTAAATTTTATTACAGGTAAAAAAAGAATGAATAAAAAAAAATCAAATAAAAATGTTTTACGTCTAAGCCAAGTTCGTTATTTATTTTGGAAGAATCGTCATCAGAATTGTCTGACCCTTCTGGATTGTCATCCAGGGAAGTTTTCAACAAACTTTCAACTAATGGGTCCATCAAGAATTCAATCGCGAATACCCCAATATCAGTGTGAAAAGATAAGCCACCTGTAATAGCCAATCAACGCACCCAAATTAGATCTTAATATAACTTTTATCGTTATACGCAAATCAAATAATTTTCCAGTATATTTCACGTGAGCGCATTTAGTTTATTCAACAACATAACGATAAAGTTCTCGACCTTTTTCCAAAGACAACGGTATAAGAATGTCTTATCGTAGTACGGATGTTGACATTTTAGACGAAGATCAATTATTTCAAGAAGATCTATTTGCGTTCGCTGGAGGTACAGAAATTGAGCCGGAAACGGCTCTACGAAATGTTCAAGCGAAAGGAGTTGATGTTAGAAATTTCTTGACAAGGTATTCGGATTATTAGAGGGTTGAATGATGTATTTTGAAGCCTAACAAATACAATAAAAATGAAATGTTTTAATACCTGACAGTTTTTTTTTCGGTCTATAGAGGTAATACCGAAAAAGCACTGGTAACGGCTATAGAAAATCCACCATACGGTTCAAATACGACTGACGCCAAGGTTAGAATTCACAGATAAGTCAAGAAAAAAGAAAAGACGCATTGTGCTAATTCAAAATAATACTTTCGATAGGATCAAAATACAAAAATTGTTATGGAGGTTCTTAACTCTATCAAAGCAACTGACATTCCACCGCTAGTTAGAAATCTAACATTAGAACAGCAAGATGTTTTAATGAAATATATTTATCGCGGAATGGCATCACCAGAATTATATAATTCTGCCGTACTTTTAAATTGGCATGAAAAGGTAGGCCAATTTTAAGGTTAATTGAGACTTGCGAGCTGAGTGGCAATGGTTGTTTACGATATATCTTTTTTTGTAGCTTACTGAGGTCGCAGGTGTTGGGTGTATTGTACGAGTAACTTCTGATCGAAGAACTGTGTGAATTTTATGATTGTGACTAAACCCTTCTTTAAATGATACCATTATTACGTTAGTTTGAGTTTGGGAATCGGGATTTCTATTCCATTTAAGATAATAACTCAATCCCATTTTCATCAATAGTATCAAACTTAAAACCTGGTTAAGTTTATTAATCAA